GCTTGATTGTTGTTCCATGATGAGCCAAATGTTTTCAGCTGGCGGGAGGTCTGGACTACAGGAAGGACTCGTGTATGTGTTGTCATGGATGCAGACTGTGCTATATTGTCCTGCTGAAATAGGCAAGGTCTTCTCTGAACAAGACATCTTTTAGATTTGGATGGGAGCATTTGTTGTTCAAAACATTGCACTCGTGGTGCCTTTCCAGATGTGCGTGCCAACCATGCCAGAGGCACTAACGCACCCCCATGCTGTCAAAGAGGTTTTTGAGCTGTGGGCTGATAACAGGCTGGAGGGCCCCTTTTGTTTGTGGATTCTGGCTGTCCACTTTGCCTCGGTCCACTTCAAACAAGATCTGGTTCTGAGAAAAGTTTTTGGATAGTGTTCACACGCGGCTGCTGGTGAACCTGTGCCCATCTTTACTTCAGAGAGATTCAGCCTCTCTACAATGCCTCCAAGTTCTTCTATTAACCTGTTACTGATTTTATTTATTTATTGTTCCTCCAGTATTTACTGCCAGAAAGTAAAAAAAAAAAAAATTGTAGTCTCTATGTTGTTTTAAAGAACAATATTTTAAAACATTTGATTGGTTTACTTTATTCCTTTGTGACTAGAATATGAATTTCTGAAATTTGCAAATATTTGCATTCTGTTTACATTTACATTTTGCACAACATCCCAACTTCTGTTTTGATTATGTAGAGATACAAAACTTAAAAAAAAAAAAATTAATGTTAGAGGGTATAAACTTTAACACACTGATGCAAAATAAATAAAACACACTATAGTCCATCAGGTCTGAAGCAGTAAAATAAACCTCTGATGACAATCAGTTGTAAAATAAACTGACTGCGTCATTTTGCCAAAACTAAACAAATATCAACTTGTAATTTATGTTTTTCCTCATTTGGGCTACCGTCCTACAAGGAGGGGTCACAAACCACAGGGATGAGAACCTGGAGACTTTAGATACGGTACATAAAGTATTTTCATCACTTTGCTTGTTTTATTTTCAGATTAGACACAGTTCCACTAAAAGTGAACACACAAGGAAGACGCTGTTTTGCGAAGCTCTGCAAAAAGTCACACACAGAACAACTTTAGTTTTAGTGTTATTGTCACACTTGTGGACAGAAACTCCACAGAACACAGTTCATCATCACCTGCGAGTAGAAAACCGCCCTGACAGCAGCTGCTCTTGTCCAGTCGTCACGCTGAAATGTTTACCTTTACATACAAATGGGCCCGGGGTCATGTTGTGTCACGTAATGTTTCATGGACAAATACTGTCAGCCATTTCTCAATCCAACCTGCACCCTCCCACACACACACACACACACACACACACTCCTCTCCAGCGACAGCAGGGCGCGTGGCCTCAGAAACAGTGAAGCGCCACTCTGAATTAAACCCCAGCTGGCTCGGCTTCAAGGAGAAGACAACGAAGCAGCAGGTTTTGATCAGCAGGTAAAAAATGTGATAACCACATGAAAAGGATGCTTTTAAAAAACATCACACCCTTGAGTTAATTTAGTTACAGAGTTTATAAAATAGAGGCCACAAAGTGCTTCACGTTCATACAATGTAGACTTTGACAGAAAAAGAAGGGAAATGGTTCATGGAAATTAGAACAAATTCGTGCAGAAGTGTTTTGGGAATTGAAAGAGACGTGTGTATTTTCTGCCTCTTTTCAGTCAAGCTTTAGAGGAAAGCTTCCAACATCAGAGCCTGCACGCAGAACCACCCAACCATCGCCCCGCACAACAAATCTGTGCTCAGGACAACTCTGGACCTGTTCAAGGCCGTGCAGAGAACCGTTTTTATTTTAGAGATCAGCAGGCCTGAAGGCTGCATGTGTTGTGTCACTTTTAGTCATTTAAAAACACAGTTTGTGACTTTAATTTTTTTTTTTTTGTGACAACAGCACATTTGTTTGTTTGAATTAAGTTTGATTTGCTGGCAAAAAACAAACAAAAAAAAATTCAAAAGAACAAACCGTGAGAATAGTGCAGATAAATATTGTTTATTTAGTGAACCAGTGTTGGTTTAATGCACTGAAATTACTTAATAATTATTTATTAAGTGTTTAAACTTAACTCTTTAGTCATTTTAAGGGTGCTCTAAAATTAAATAAATGTTTTACCAACTTTAATAAGAATATTCTCTCAGACAGAATTACTTTTTACTGCAGATTTTAAATTTTAAATATTTATTTTAATTGACAAACATCTGATTAAAGCCTCCCATCCTCTGATAAACGTCCCTCATCCTTTGACTCACCAGGACGTAGAAGTCCCAGGGTGCCTTGCGGCAGCTCTCCCCTCTCCTCCGCGTCTTTTATGCGGTTCTTTCCGGTTCCGCTCGGTCAGAGCTCGGGTCACCGGTCCAACTTTCTATCCATCATATTAATTACGTTAATTAGCTCGAGGAGGGGGGTGACAAACAAACAAACAAACAAACAAACAAATAAATAAGGCCTGATTCTTATCTGAGCCATGGCGAATCGTCTGAACGAATCCTGCAGGAGTACCAGGAAAACTTGTACAAATAAATAAATAAATAAATAGGATTTATGTTAAAACACTTAAGTAAGCTTAACAATAAATTAAAAAGTTGAATTAGTAAAATAAACATGTATGAAACATTTATATTATTGCTCCAAAATTCAATAACGACAACAGCAATAATAATAATTATAATAATAATAATAATAATAAGTTTATAAAACATATTTTATTTTTTATTCTTTCAAACCGCAGTGATCTTTAGATCCTAATTCACTAATAATGTTTTTTTTTTACTCCCATAAACATTTTCCCCCAAATTTGATGAATTAAAGTGTCAAATTTTCTAATATTGCTAAAGCAGGATGAACATGACCTAAAAATAATAAAAGCTACAAGGAGTTTAATAAATCAAAACTAAAACCTTTTTTCTAAACATCGTGGATGAACAATCTGCAGTTTTCAGTTATTTTTAATCTGCATAAATAGATCAGATTGAGTCAAGCTGGAGGTTTAAAAGTTGTTTTTTTTTTTTCCCTACAAGCCACAAACATCAGCTCTGCTCGTTTACTCTCAAATAAATAAATCATCATCCTGCAGAATAACAACTGTGTTAGTAAAATAATCCGGTTAAAGGTCTACTTCATGGAGCTTCAGTTTCATTTGGAGTTGGTTCTTCTTGTCTTTTCTTTCTGTCGGTGTTGATGTTCAGAGGCTGAGGGCGCGCGCCGGAGGTCAGGGTCGGAGTGTAGCAGCGCGAGGCGACAAGCCGAGCAAAATGGCTCGCTGTCTCGCGCTTTGTTCGCGCACTCAATAGTGTCGGTGCTGAGGCTGAACCCTGAGACCTGCAGCTGTCTGCAGGACACCATAAGACACGGAGTCTTTTTCTCGTTTTGCTCTTTTCAAACTTTGGATTTTTACTTTTCGTTTCCGGTCAGAGTCAATGTCAAAATGTTGAAGTTGAATATTAATGCTGGGTGTGCATTTACAATAAATTCAGTTTTACTTGTAGTTTCTCTCTCTCTCTCTCTCTCTCTGTGTCCCCCAGGACCCAGAGAATAAAGATTTTTGGGGGGTGTTATCAGAGAAACACATCCCGTACTTCCGGCTCAGGCTCCAGGCAATTTCTTTAATAACTGACTTTACTAATTTCCCCTCTGAGGAAATATCAATGTTTGCAAACATTAACTTAATGTTTTATAAATTATATAAATTAATGAATCAACTAATGGAACATTTAAATTTTATTTTTTTCATTTATTTGTTTTTAATCTTCCTCTCCTGCGAGTGCGCAGGCCTCCGGGTCGGACCGGTTCTGTCTCCAGGCTGAGCTTTGGTCCAATTTGACAACAAAGCTGCGACTTTATTAAAGCCCAGCAGCCGAAAACACGAGCGCGTGCTCGTGAACTGTCATTACTCCGTCAGAGAATCTAAAGTGCAGCAAACAAAGCCGCGAGTGGAAAATCTTCACTTATTAATATTTAGATGAAACCTTCCTGCACCTCTCAGGTGTCACGTTTGGTGACTTCAACGCATGTGCACGCGCGGGAAGCTGGCACGTTCGTGGAGCTGCTGCGCCTGCACCATCCACTCGGTGCGTAATGCGTAAAGAGCGCGGCGCGGAACAGGTGTCTGGAGAAATCCTCACGAGCGCCTCTTCTTCTCTTAGAGGCGCGCGCACCTTGAGCATCATTTCACTTGAACTTTGCTTTTATTTGTAATGTGTGTGGAGCGAACAAACCCCGCGCGCAGGTTTTACGCATGTCACGCAGCGCTCCCCACTGACCTCCACGAGCTGCTGCACGCGGAGGAAATGAATCTGACATGGAAACGGGGGAGGGCGGGGGAGGGGGGTTAGTAAAGTGAAACTTGGTAACAGATGCGAGTGAGGAGGGGGCGCGGCCCTGCTGGGAAGGGTGGAGGATGCGTTCGCGTGCGCCGGAACGCTTGTTTTTGGTGAGCGTGCACGCGGATTGAGTTTGTGTGTTGGAGAAGTGGAAGAAGAAAGTGTAGGAGGGTGTGGGGGTGTGGAGGGGACAGGACATGAGCACACATTGAGAGAGCGGCTCTTTTTTTTTTTTTTTTTTTACTGGGCGCGATCATTTCACGCCC